TATGTAGAGATTTATTTTTTCATGTGTATTTTCACATTTAAGTGTCAGCAGCTAGTTAAGTATTCACTTTTGAATAGTGCAGAAACTTATAACAACAACACCAGCCATAGATAACTTATTTGAACTGGCCTGGGGGATAAATGCCCCCCAGTGCAGTCTTACCCTGCTTGGAACCCAATGGGTGAAGTGCAATAATTGAACTTTAAGGGTAACAGCATTTTGTACATACAGTATACACGTCAATGTGATCAGTGTAGTGAAAATAATCCTATCAATGTTTGTTAATATTAAGCATACTTTATAGCCCATACCAAGCTCAAAAGAAAGATAAATGTAGGCAGCCAGGTACCAATCTAACCAATACACATACATGGGTCAAGCCTCAATCTAAATTCTAAAACCAGCGCAGGTAAGAACTGGGCAAGTAGGCCAAATATTAATTTCAAAAGAATGAATAGCACAAACCACAGTACCATATGTCAAAAAACAGTAGGGCCAAGAAGAGAGAATGTTAAACTCCTGGTCAATAGATGATCACTATATAACCATAAACTACTAATATGGAGGAGGAGGCTATTTAAGGTATTCTTTCATAGACCAGCAAAAACAAATTGTGTGATAGATTTTTCAGGTCAGGTAGGGTCAGCTAAAAAAAATGTGATTTACCTTTAAATATAGGGCTTCATTTTCTAATATGATTTCTTTTACAAATATACATATGTAGACTAGTTCAGTTAGCTTAGTTAGCTCTTTACCCACCTTTACAGTAACCAGATGCCAGGATGCCTGTATGTACTGGGAAATATACTTTCCTGTATTCTAGACTTCAATAATTAATTTTTGAATTGCCAGAAATCTAATCACCCCCCACCAGGATGTACATCCTGTTAAAGGAAAACTATGAGGTGAGTGCTTTTCACTCACCTCATAGTTCTAGCCGACCTGTGACAATGAGACTGTCACAGGTCGGCTCAGTAGATCGGGAGGTGAGCGAACACATACCGGATTCGCTCGCCTCTCGATCCTGTCATGGCTCTCTGCCGTGACAGGGGGAGGATTGCCCCCCCCACTCCAATCTGCCAGCGCTGACTGGCGGAATGGACGGGGGAGGGGGCGGGTACAGCTGGCTCTGCCTCTAGATAGGCAGAGTCAGCTGTCACTCACGCAGCTGGGCGGATCCCGTCATCTAAGTCGGGATCCGCTCCGGCTGCGGCGTCTCAGTATACCGCGAGCTGTAGCTCGCGGTATACTGAGCTTAGGGTAACGGGAGGACGCTAGTTTGTGTCCTCCCGTTACCCTAAGGAGAACTATGGGGAAAAACACTGACCCCATAGTTCTCCTTTAAGCGCAATTTTTCCATGCTGAGTAGCAACTGGCAGCTGACAGGCTATGAAGAACAGTAAGAAGCTTGTCTCACATATTTTATACATTGTCCTTCCAGAGACACAATCCTAGACCTGCCTAATATGCTACAAAGATCATTCTTAGCCAGCACAATAATCTATACTATACAATACATGGGAGGAATCAATTTGTTAAACCACAAACTAGGTCAGCTTTGTGGGCAACAGTGTGCCATTAGGGTTTTCTTTTGCCTTAGTGTATGGATGGTCTCTGTGGTTGCTGAATGACAGGTAAACTAGAGGAGATGAAGGAGCAGCTGTGCTGATCAAGGATAGCATTAAGTGGGTGGAAGGCATCTTGAACGTGGGGAATGCTTCGACGTCATGGTTTTATGGACATATGTTACATTCCTACACAGCTTCTTTCACATAAGTAGAATACAAAATGAGCTATACAGTTGTAAAACGCCATCAACATGACACATTTTGTCTGTAATGTATAACTGTCTGTGATAGGGTCACACACATGCTTAGGAACTGAAAAGAAAAAATAATTAGATTGATTATCTGCATTTCCACTTATCAACCTAATGTTTTAAAGGATACTCATTATATTAAGTGAGGTGGTAGCAATACAGAGGATGAATCGAACTGGGCCAATCCACCGTCCACCATGCCTTGGCTTTACCTTGTAGGTTAATGCTGTTTGCAGCCAGAAATAAATGTTACCGACGAAAAACGCCAAGAATGCTCCAACCAGATGTGTTTCAATTTGATTGGACTGCTGTGGAGAAAACACATATACCATCCATATCAAAGCTTAATCATTGTTGTATACCAGCCAACATTTCCAGATGAATTCCCAGAACAAGTCTTGTTCTTTCCTAATGTACCCTAACCATGTTCTGATGTGGACAGATATACCCCTAACCACAACCACTTTCATGCACCGCCCACACAGTTGAAGGAATCCTGCACTATCTTAGACAGGTGGGACAGACAATAGGATGTAGCACTACTATTCAGTTTTCACTTGTAAATAGCACCCAATCACATTTCAATTGTCATTTTTCAATATAGATTTAGATAGAAAAAAGTACCGGGTATCAGACATCTGACTGACTGCTATGGGCAATACAAATAATTGCCTTTGTACTAACTTTAATTAAGAAAAAAAAAACTCACATAGATGTGTTGATAATCAGATTTGGTAATTATGTTCTGTTTTCGAACAAGGAAATAGCAATTTTAAAGACTTATTGTAGACCAACCTGGAAATTGGCAACAAGAGACGTTCCTAAAGCACTTAACAATCCCATTGCAAGAGTGGCAGAATTTAGATGAGAGTGGCAACGATAGTCCCTGATTTGCTGAAATCGTATGACAGTGATCCAGGATGCTAGGATAACAAGAAGAACATGTTTAAGTCATTGCTTCTCTGTATGTTACACTTTTTCAACTATTTCTGAAATGGTACTTGCACAGGGCTCTTTTACTGCAAGGGGATTAGCGGAGGAACATCTAGAAAAGCTAATTTCACCTAGGCAGTACCCTGAAAAATGTACGGGTTGTGCTGAATTCCTCCTGAAAAACAGCAGTGCACGTCCTGAGATATGACTGTGCCTAAACACTCCTGTTCTGTTGCCTAATAGCTGTATATATATATACATGTATACGTATATATATATATATCTATATATATATACACTATATTGCCAAAAGTATTGGGACACCCTTCCAAATCATTGGATTCAGCTCCATGGCCACAGGTGTATAAAATCAAGCACCTAGGCATGCAGACCGCTTCTACAAACATTTCTGAAAGAATGTGTTGCTCTCAGGAGCTCAGTAAATTCAAGTGTGGTACCGTGATAGGTTGCCACCTGTGCAATAAGTCCATCCGTGAAATTTCCTTGCTACTAAATATTCCACGGTCAACAGTTAGTAGTATTATAACAAAGAGGAAGCAACTGGGAACAACAGCAACTCAGCCACAAAGTGGTAGGCCAGGTAAAATGACAGAGCATGGTCAGCGTATGCTGAAGGGTACAGTGCGCAGAAGTCCCCAACTGTCTACAGAGTCAATAGCTACAGACCTCCAAACTTCATGTGGCCTTCAGGTGGCACAACAACAGTGCGTAAAGCGCTTCATGGAATGGGTTTCCATGGCCAAGCAGCTGCATCCAGGCTTTACATCACCAAGTGCAATGCAAAGCGTCGGATGCAGTGGTGTAAAGCACGCCGCCATTAGACTCTAGAGAAGTGGAGACGTGTTTTCTGGAGTAACGATCACGCTTCTCTGTCTGGCAATCCGATGGACGTTTCTGGGTGTGGCGGTTGCCAGGAGAACGGTACTTGTCTGACTGCATTGTTCCTAGTGTAAAGTTTGGTGGAGGATGGATTATGGTGTGGGGTTGTTTTTCAGGGGTTGGGCTTGGCCCCTTAGTTCCAGATAAAGGAACTCTTAAGGCATCAGCATACCAAGACATTTTGGACAATTTCATGCTCCCAACTTTGTGGGAACAATTTGGGGATGGCCCCTTCCTGTCCCAACATGACTGCGCACCAGTGCACAAAGCAAGGTCCATAAAGACACGGATGAGCGAGTTTGGGGTGGAGGAACTTGACTGGCCTGCAGAGAGTCCTGATCTCAACCCGATAGAACACTTTTGGGATGAATTAGAGCTCGAGACTGCGAGCCAGGCCTTCTTGTCCAACATCAGTACCTGACCTCACAAATGCGCTTCTGGAAGACTGGTCAAACATTCCCACAGACACACTCCTAAACCTTGTAGTCAGCCTTCCCAGAAGAATTGAAGTTGTTATAGCTGCAAAGTTTCAAAAGGGAAATGTCAGTGGTCTGTTTGGACCCCTAATATTTCCCCAAAGCCCACAAAACAGTAAAATAATAATAAATAATAATGAAAAAATAAATTAAAAATGTGTAAATATTTTTTTTTTTAAAGCACAAACCCCCCCACACATGCCCGTCTTTAACGCAGGGCAAAAGGGGCAGTTGCCCTGGGCCCAGTTATTGTTGTGGGGCCCTAAGCAGCTGCCCCTTGAGCCTGCACTGCTCGCTCCCTACCTGGAGATGCGGGATGTCAGTGTCCCGTCCCTTCTCCCCCCTCACCCTCTTGGTTTCCCTTATCTGTCCAGAGATAAGACAGACAGCAGAGATCGGCAGATGGGGACCTTTGTCTGCTCTGCCTAGCAACTGATGACGCTGATGGGCAGGCTGTCATAATTACGTACTTCGGCCCGCCCATCACATCATCAGTTGCTAGGCAGAGCAGACAAAAGTCTTGATCTCCCGATCTGCTGCCTGTCTGCAAGTAACAGCAGGGGGGGAGAGATTAGGGAAACCAGGAGGATGAGGGGGGAGAGCACGGGGATTACAGGCTCAATAACAGACTCTGATCCCCTTGCAGACAGGCAGCAGAGATCAGAAGATAAGGACTTTTTTTATCAAAGCACAGGGATCAGAGCCTATCCTGCATGCCTAGACCAGCCGGCCCGCCCATCTGCATCATCAGTCACTAGGCAGACAGGGGCTGATAAAAAAATAAAAAAATTAATTGATTTGGGATGTTGGGGTGAAGAGAGAAACGGCCCTGCCCCCACACATAACATACATGTGCACCATATTATGGTGTACACCAGGCACATGCGCTGCAGTGTGTTGTTAGAACACATTGCAGTGCATGATTTATTTCTTTTGTAAAAAAACATTAATTTAACTGTGGCAGCGCATGGCAAAGCTTTGTAACGCATTGCCGTGCGTTGTGATACCTTGTGCTGTAAATAAATATATGCCTGTATCATTTTATCACAACACAAACACCAACACAGCGCAAAAACCATATATAACTGATAGATAGATAGATAGATAGATAGGATAGATAGATAGATAGATAGATAGATAGATAGACAAAGAGATATGCAATAGGAGCTCAGCTAATGCGCTGCTGCCCATGACTGCTAACCTCTCAAGATTTGGAGTGATATTTGGTGGCGATTTCTATACTGTGCTGCTCACTGTTCATTTTACTAAAGAGAACACTGTACCTGAGGGTGTGAGGTGCATGCATCTCCCTTTTGCTTCATATATTCTGTGGATCTGTGCTTCCATCTCTCCTTGATCAGGTATCAAATCACCAGTCTTTAGGTTGCAGCTCTGAGATTTAAGGAACCAAAACCCTGCCTCTACCAAGATGATTACCCCCACATAGTCTGCATGATGACTAAAGGCAATGCTGTTTACTACATCTTTGCACTCAGCTTGCTCAGCTTCCACAGATCAGGTCCTTTTTTTTTTAAATAAATGAGATTACATACCCTCAATCACGAAGGAGTTAAATGGGCAGCAAAAGATAAAAGAAGAGAAAAATCTGTCACCTATTACACAAATGAATTTCAACATGTAAACCAAAGCTACTAGGTTAAAGTATAAAGATCTAGACATAATATACTGAACATTAGGGATGCACCGATACAGATACTAATATCGGTATCGGTGCCAATACTGAATATGTGGGCAAGTACTCGTACTCGCCCTAAATGCTCAGTTACCTTCCCCAATACTGGAACTTACGGTCAGAGGAAGATTTCCTCTGACCGGCAGTGCCGTAGGGGAACATGGAGGCGCTTTCCAGGGCAATCAGGAAGCCAGGCTGCGAGTACTGACCCTCCTCCCGGCTTTTTGATTGGCCGGGAAGTCGGCTCCATGCTGATTGGCTGGTAAGCCAGCTTCCAAGCCAATCAGCATCAAGCTAGCCAAACAGCCTGCTCCTTGCTGATTGGCTGGGAAGCCCGGCCAAACAGGCGGCTTCTTGATGATTGGTCAGGAACCTGGCTTCCCGGCCAATCAGGAAGCCAGGAGGCGGGTCATTACTCACCGGCCAGCCTCCTGATTGGCCAGGAAGCCGGCTCGATGATGATTGGATGGGAAGCTGGTTTCCCAGCCAATCACAATCAAGCCGGCCAGACAACATGGAGCTGGCTTCCTGGGCAATCAGGAAGCAGACGGCATGTCATTACCTCCATGCCAGAGGACTCAATACCGAAAAACTGGTATTGGTGCATCCCTACTGAACATACATATGAAAATATTTGAAATAAATTAAAATGGAGAGATTATTCCATGTCTATTCATACATTTTACTTAAAAGAAACCTTGCAAAAACAGAAACATATGCATTGCCATTATTGATCTACTTTTGAAGGCCTGTGCTACAAAGCTGCCATTCTCATCCTGATACTTCCAGGTAAGTGACTTATCAAGAAGTAAAGGATCCGGATGACAGTTTAAGAGCCTGCTGAGAAATAACAGCTTTCATATCTTAATTCTGATGGGTTCCTTTTACATGTAAACTAGATTTCAAAATTACTTCAAGCGTTTATATTTTTACATTCTTATATGATTTAGAGATCTATTGTTCTCATATTCTGGTTTCTTTGGATGGGGCTGAGATTTGCCACTGTACAGGGCAGGGCAGCATGTTCTAGCATAGCCACTACTGTACATACAGGAGAATACCTGTGTACAGATGTCCCATGGAATCGTGGAGAATGTAAGATCAAGAAAATGGGGAAAGAAAATATGAAGACATTTACAACCAACTTACAAATGAAATGAAAAACTTAGGGTTAGGCTGCTTACCCATCATAGCCCCTATGTTAAGAACCTGTGCAAATATACAGCTCTGGGGAGGGTATGAGCCACATGTGCTGTAACAAAAAAATATGACTGTCAATATTCATAAACATTTCATAATAAGATCGGGCTGTACATCTAAATATCGACATCTGTTTAATAATTGGAGTTATGGATCTGACATACATTAGTGTTTTGCATGTCCGCCCCATCATCAGAGAATCTAAAATCAAAGCTTTATTAATTATTCAATAAAATTGTAACACCCATTATTCTTACCGTGTGTGTGTGTGTAACACATGAAACTGATTTTATATTATCTGATGGGGTGGACATTCAAAATACTAATGTATGTAATTTCCATTTTGCTAATTATTAAATAATGTTATACCCCAGGCACAGTTAAAACTATGAACAAATAAAAAATCTTCTAGCAATAATAAATATTGAACACTGACATGTCCAAACGAACCTACACAGATCTATTGTATAAGAAACCGTAAAATGTAGTACCTTAGAGCAACCAATGAACAATCTTCTTTCACTGGTCTGACTGCAAGAACCAACATATCCCCTTTTTACTTATTTGAAACACTTCTACTTCTGATCCTTGTATTAATGGTGGAAACAAGTCCAGAAAGAGAAGACAATTATTTTAGGTTTGATCTGGATTCTAGTGTATCACAGGCATTTTTTCCTATTGTTCAGGAGCTGATTACTTGTGGCACATGAATCACTGGGGCTGTGTATTATAAATATTAAATATTAGCTAGTTTTTTTAAGTCAAATATTTAAAAAGAGCAAAACATTGCTTAAGAAAGTTATAAAAGTGGTTTAAAAACAATAATATACTAATTCATTTTTATCACAAAAATGTAATCAGATCTCTATTGGTTGTTGCAGGTTGTGTTTTGGGGTGAGATTTCGCATATTATTAAAACAAATCTTATTAAGCCAAATATTGCATTTGTCTGATGAAAGCTGGCACTGTTCAACTTCCAAGCTGTATAACATTCCCAGTACAATCATCTAACCCACAGAAATGTTGAACAGGAATTTCACTGCTCTGGAACCAGTATGCAGTTTGTGTGCAGGTGATTGATGATGAAAGACTCTTTAAACAAAACCTAATATATCATATATACATCAATGTAGTCCCACCTGATGTAGGGAAAGCCCTCTGTGATGTTGACTGAACCATTATTCACTGACATTGCATACCTGAAAAAAAGTAAAATATAACGATAATATACCCTACGACCCAATGAGCAATTACCTCAACCAGCCCAGAAATCCACGGGGTACTAATTTGCAAATCCAGATCATTTATTGCAGAAAGTTTTCTATGAAATTGCCCCTCCACCCCTACAATGCCCAATTTATTATGAAAGTTTAGTAAAATGATCCTTATGCTCTTAGGGCTTGCATCTTCCTGTTCCAGCTTTCCTTTTCTGTAAAGCCTCATCAAGGGATAATAGATTCAGCAGAGTCTGAATAGATCTCAGCAGAGGTTCAACATAGTAACAAGACTGTGGAATTTCAACATTTTACTTCTAATGCCCTCAATCAACAAGAAGCCACATGATTTTCAATGTTTTCATTGTAAACATAACAATTAATTTTTTTATTCATTTATAAAAGGAAAACAAGAAATAAAAATTAGACAGATTTATTTATATTCACTTATATTTGCACATCAGCCAAATTCATGTTAGAAGTGCAACTTGAAAGATTGATTGGCACTATTTATTATCTGTGGATACCCCACAAATCCTCTGGGATTTCGGGTAGGTGGGGATTTTGAGCCGCTGTAATGCTTCTGGAGGATCATAAGCAGGCCAGCTGTTTCCCTTACAAAACTGATGTAGGCTCTATACCCAAACGTATTAATGGTTTTTAGAGGTTAAGTCCACAGGCAGTTGAAAAGCTTTCAAAAGGTTTCCCTGTAAAGGACACCTGGGGTAAAAGAAATACACAGGCTGATCCTCTGATAATTCCATTTGTCTGGCTTTAGGTATGATCCTTTGATTTCAAGGACAGTTACTGTGACTTCAATGTAACTGACCCGGAACAAGTATGCAGCAAGTGAAGTCAGAGTGATGAAAGTACTCCTGGTGCACATACATTTTCTGGATCAGTGACTTTGAAAGTATTGAAGCCAATAAATCAACATGATAGACAAGAAAAGGTCAGCAATGGTAAGCCACATATTTTCCCCACCACAAATTTAGTTGATGCAGCTTATTGGCAGAGATCTGAGTGCTATACACCATAGCAAAGACTTTGATATTTTCTTCTAAAGTAAACTTGTACTCCATTTAAAACTTTTTTAATTAGAAATCCTACCTTAGCGGCCAGAAATGTTTCTTCTGTGGCCCTCATTAATTTAGTTTGACTTTGTTGCGGGTCCTTGCTTTCCCCCATTTCAGGACTAAGCACGGCTAGTTGCCATTCCACTGTACACATAGACTATGACAGAGTCATAGATAGAGTATGACCACCTATATAGGATAGGTAACTGGTGACATTTAGCCATGAAGTCGTGAATAGTTGGGCCTCGGAAACAAAGTAAATAAATTAAATTAAGTTTAGTTCAAGTGGCGCAGAAGATGTTTTTCTGGCTAATAAAGGTTCTAGCAGGTATCCTGAGTCATCTGCTTTTAGGTAGAACTTTTACTTTTAAAAGGTTCACTTTAAGCTCAGTAAATTTTACAACATATAATGTATTGTGCAGAATGTAATAATCAACTTACACTATCCATATCCCAGCTGTTGCCCATACTGTCAGGGTAATTGGCAAAAGAGCCCACGCCCACATAATTTACAATCTAGAAATAAAGTGGTTACAGTTAATGATATAAACTCAATCAAATAATATGAAACATTAAATACACCATATTAGCTATAAACATAGATATGGTAACATGGCGTACTCATAAACTGTGTATTGCCTGTTAAATAAATATTAGAAGATGATGTTGACTTTGACCCAGCATTTCCTGATTCCTCCAGGCAGGTACTGAGAAGTATTCATGATTATAGTTATACCTACCCACTAAGCCCATACATAGGCTGAACAACTGCATGGCAAAATTAATCTCATGAAAGACACAGTTCTGTCATGTTCAACCAATAAAACAATAAATAAATAAATAAATAAAATTCCTTTGCATAACTTTAAACAGCTTTGTATAACTTTAAACCTTATCCAGAAGAAGGCAAAAAAGTCTAAGGCTCCATTCACACCATTCACATATCCGGCTGTACGGATACTCGCACAAGTACAAGCCTGATAATCCAGCAGATTCCGCACATTCGCAGCTATTTAATAGCCGCAAACAAGCGGCATACGTGCGCATTACAAATATTAGTTTCTTCATCCGGCACGATCTTCCGCACGGAAAACCGTGTGGGAAACGCAAACGCTATATGTGAATAGAGCCTTACAAAGCACGGCCCAATCTGCTACAGCAAGGACAGAATTCCTTCCTGATCCCCAAAGTAATCAAATAACTCCCTGCATCAACAATCTATAATGTTATTTCTCATTAATATAGGTATATTAGCAATCATTTATATTTTGTGCATTTAGAAACACATTGAGCAATTTTTTGAAGCAATCTATTTAGTCGCCTAGAGCCAGCTCCTATGAAAGACTATTTCACATTTTACAGATGTTCAGTAAATAATCCCAAAAGTAAACCTTGGGGTATACTGCCCAGCACCGGCAACACCTCTGAAGCTCCAGGGAGCCCGGGCAGGCAGCCCCTCTCCCCAACAGCAGGCCGATGCAGAGGAACTACTAGTCCCAGCTGAAGAGCTGGCATCAGGGCAGAGTGCTACTGACCTCTGTCCAGCAACAAATGCACCTCTGGAGCTCCAGGGAGCCGGGGCATATGGCCCCTCTCCCCAACAGCAGGCCGATGCAGTGGAACTACTGACCTCAGCTGAAGAGCTGGCATCAGCGTTCCAGGGAGAAAAAGTAACCGACCTCTGTCCCCAGCGGCAGATCAGCAGTCTGGGAGAGGAGGTGGTCTTCCTCCCTCCCCAGCAACCAATTGGAATCCAGGGAGAGAAGGGGATCGTCCACCCTCCCCAGCAGCAGTTTGGAATCCAGTTAGAGGAGGAAGCCGTCCTCCCACCCCAACAGCAAGCCAGAACTGAGTATGTGGATTCCCCAGCAGAAGTGCTGACACCAGGGCAGAGTACCACTGGCTTATGTCCCGCACTGTTGCCTGTTCCAACCTCCATGGGAGAACAGGAAGCGGGCCTCTCTACCAGCACGTGGCTTTGGTGTCCAGAGGATTCCGGCTTTATCTCTCTCCAGAGGCACCATGTTTGTCAGGAAGGCGCAGACAACATCTCTCCCCAGCAGCAGAAGCAGGACGTCCTTCGGATGGAATATGTGGACTTCTGCGGCCCGACAAATGCAGGTCCAGACCATTTGGGGGACTGGGACCTAATTAGACTACCTTTGGTGGGGAAGAAATGTCATAGAACCCACTGTGACCTGGGCTCATGGAGGGGGCTGGCGGCCAGCCTCCTTCCCAGCGACTACGGACCTAGGATTTTGGAGACCCCCCTTGTTTGGTTGAGCCAGGTGTCCGGGGCCAATGGACAGCTGTTGCAATGGAGCCTGGCCCCACAGACGTTCAATTTCACGGTCCAATGCTGGCCTGGGAGACACAATGCTGATGGACTATCTCGCCAAGTGGAGCTGTAGGGGTGACTGACATCATGGACATCCCCAAGTGGACCCGTAGAGGGTCTCACCGGGTCTGCCATCTTTTAACTTGGGGGAGCTATGTGACGACATGGTGATCAGTTTATAAGTTAAATGTGTATTGGTGTTGAGTTATGTTTGAGTGCGTTATGCTGTGTGACCTGGTTATGGAAAGACTATCAGCCCCATCCCTCGTTATCTCCCATTGTACTCTGAGGGAGCTCAGAACAATGACATTCTGGCCAGGCTCCTGCTATGGCTGTCTGGAGCTCGTTAGCAGGTGGACACCTGTGGTGTTGAGCAGACCGATGGTCTGGGAGGAGGGGAGGTGGATGTGATGGGATTATATTCTGATTTCATCACTTGCTGTATAAAAGTTTGTGCAGTTGCTCAATAAAGCAGAGTTTGTTTACCCTACACTCAAGCCTTGGCTAGTGACTGGGGAAACTGGGAGCTACAGATCAGCGGGTTCCAATATCTCCTCAGCAAGGAAGAAGACAGCGGCGGACATACTCATCCTGAGTACGGGGGTCCGTCACATATACCACTTAGAACCTTAATCATTTCATAACTAATCACAGCTCTCTGAATATGACCTACATCAGTGACGTGCAGTAAGGTCCGTGCTAGGTGATGCATTCTCTCTGCCCTACACGCCTCCAACCCGTCCCCAAGCTAGTTAAAAGGAGGAAGGGAGGAGACAGGAAGGAGTTTCCCTGTCCCTCACTTGCTCATCACTAGTGAGGCATCAAGATAGATGTCCTCAGTGTTTTCTATTTTTCCTTTTTATGATTGGACAGCTTGGACCAATGGCGCTTTGCCAATGGCGTTCATTGGTCCAAACCATCAACAGAGCTTAGGCCTCTAACACCAAGTAGAGACTGTTGCAGCTCTGGCTTCATTATGTTAGGTTACACAAAGCAGTGGGGAAGCCCGCTGCTGTGTAACCTAACTTAGCTGTGAAAAGCCGGATGAAGCACTGCCTGTAATTAACAGGCAGTGCTCCGTCTATGAAAGGTTGCACAACGGGGAGGCTTTCCCTGCTATGTAACCTGTTAGAAGCCGGTCTGAATGAACAAAAAGATGTCAGCTTCAGGCTTGAAGCTGTCAGCATTTTCTTCCATAATACTAGGTGAGACTCTGCCTCACCTGCCTCCCCTGACTGAACATCCCTGGCCTACATGCCAACTTTCTGTCTTTGTACAGATTAAATGCTTCCAAGCCTATAAAAAATATTTACTTCAATTAGACTACACTTTTCTCTAAGCTTTTGCTTCATTCATCATCTAAAGAAAATAGATTGGTTTAACAACGTTCTTACAAGATTCCATACTGGCTATTGCTTGATCATTTACTTCTAAGCAAAAACTCCTATATGAGAACTTTTACCTATCCCTCACATATTTTCCCTACTATTGAAATTAAACTTACAGTTCTCTACTCACTGGGTGAATAAAATGATCCCTCTTTAAATATAGAACAACATTTGCTTTAAACCAATTCAGAGAAACACTGGCTTAGAAATACAAGATCTCATCTCTTTGATGATACATGGGTATAAACTATCTGGGCCTGGTGCTTTCTTTTACATTCATTTTACTAATTGTTTTGGGACTTTAGGTGCACAGATAACAAAATGGACTTAAAGTTTGCCTGTCATAAGAGAAAATGGAGACTGCCATAGCTAACTTCTTTTTCCAATAATACTGGTTCCCTGTCATACTGATGTGTTAGTTTAAGTATATAGATAAGGAATTCCAACTTTTCTATGACGTTCCTCTGCTGCAATCGTGTTCCAAGTCTGTAATTTAGAAAAATACAGACACAGCTAAGTGACATTGATTTTGAGGAGCCCAGCAATGGAAGCCTACATTTTTCTGACATTTTTCTAGGTGTACCTAAAGGATAAGTTCACTTTTTGCAAAAATAAAAGAAATGCATAATTAATAACATAGAAATAAATATGCATTTCTTTAATATTTGCAGATACGCCTGGAAACCATTGCAATTGTGATCACTCGATCACAGTTGCAGAGCTCAGGTTTCTTCACATTCTCTCCCAGGCAGAGCTCCGTACTGAGGTACAGAGTTTCAGTTATGAGAGATGGGGAAGGACAGCTAAACATCAAAATGCATGAAATCACCTCATACAGCGTACAGCCGTTCTCGCTCTAGGTAGAGCTGCCCATATTCCTGCATCTACCTAGAGCTAGGACGGCTGGACACTGTATGAGGTGATTTCATGCAGTTTGAAGTACCGCCATCCTCCCCCCATCTCTCCTAACTGAAAATCTGTACCTCAATATGGTGCTCTGCTTGGGAGAAAATGTGCTGAAGCCTGAGCTTTGCAAATGTTTTTCGCATTAGCAATCAGATGCTAACATATTTCTAAGCTGACCTAGGAAATTAGTGATCCAGATTTGTTACTACGGCTAGCACACCATCTACTAATTGTTGTGTTAAATAAGTCAGACACACATGCACGCACACGCAATCATTAACTACATGGTGAAAATGGCATTCTATGTTAAAAAAAATCTGATAATTTGCTGACAGGTCAGTGCTTTGGATCAATACCTGAATTACAAAACTCTAATGACCTTTGAGCTACCTAAGGGGAACGTTTCTGATCTTTTGACCATATTGCTATGAACCCTCTGCCAGTTATTTTATCAGTTCACACTCATCAATTTAATATCTCATAATATATTGTTGGTTCACATTTAAGTTCACCCGCCAGAGATAATCTTCTAAATAGCCCCACAAAGTCTAATGATAACATTCAGACCTTGAGTCACTATAATGCTTGGTGGGGATTACAGCCGACTATAGGGTACTAACATTAAGAGATCAGCAATAACCTGCATTAGGAACCCCATTAAATATGACACACTTTTAGAATCTAGAACAAACACAGACAACAGAGGAATCTAAAGGTAAAAAGCGGTTCTTATTTAGGCTGAAACCTAAAGTGTTTGTGTTCCATTGTGGCATTCATAAAGCAGAATTCAAGCCAGAAATGCCAAGTTAAAAATAAATAGCCCATTAAAAGTAAAAATACAAAACCAGCTTTTGCTGCAATTTTTAAGTTCAATCCA